TATATATATATATATATATATGTATATATGTGTATATATGTATATATGTGTATATATGTATATATATGTATATATGTATATATATATATACATATACACATATATATATGTGGATGGATGTGGATGTTTACCAACCAAGGAAATTAATGTATATTTTGGGGGGGTGAAGCCATAATCTGGTTTTGTGAGTCATTAGGCCACGTGGATCTGAAGCGATGACAGAAAAAAACTGGACCTTTTCATGCTCAGTTACTTTAAAACATGTCTTTAAACAAATAGACTAATCTCAAATATGACTCGAACTGAGTTTGCGTTCTTCAAATTCCCCGTGGGACTGCTGAACGTGTCAACGCTGCAGACGTGACACCGGTTACGCGCGTGCATGAATGCGCCTGTGCCTCTTTTGATGTTTCAAAGAGAAAGAGCTGTTTTTTCCCAGGAAGCTCTGACAGCTCTGGAAAGACTCCTTGCAATGATTTGCTCTCCATCACTATTATTATTATTATTGTTATTGTTATTATTATTATTATTGTTATGTAGGCCCATAAGAGTTGGGATTAGTAAACTCGGACCGTGAGGGTGCAACTAGTATTATCAGAACTACAATGCCGGGAACAGCTGTGTGACGGTTATGCGAGTTGACTGACAAGGAGACAAAAAACATGATGCAGCTTCAATCAACGACATGGTATCAGAATAAAAAACTACGAAGCAGGTGCTGTGAGTGACTTCAATCAGGACTTCAAGTGCATTGAAGTTACAGCATTTTGGATGTAACAACACATAGATCTATAAATATGCGTAGTCTTTTAACAGCCATCCCTCTGGAGCATGTCATCATGCTTTCAGTATCAAACGGCCTTACACTGAGCTATTCGCAATGTTGCTACGACACCTACTGGTGACTCTAAATTGATGTATGTGAGGGTCAACAGTCCTGGCAATACAGTAAAACCATAAGGAACCCTCCATTGGTAAACAATAAGACGCACAAGGGTCATTTGTACGAGGCCTGATCAAAAATGAACCCACTGGATTGAAATATCTTCATGCTGTTGGATTTCAATATATTTGTACCAAGCTTTGTGCTCACATTTCTGTATTGATGATGATTTTTGATTTGTGTTGCGGTGAGGATCAATCTTTCTGCCCTGGTGCCATTAAGATTATTCTAATTTATACACCAACCTAACTTGTATCTTGAACATTTTTAAATCATAGGCCACAAACACATACTGACCATCCTTCCTTAATTCCCCAAAACATTTTGTGATTTTGTAACACATAATACCATCTTTTTTTTTAAAAAGATGCTCGGAAGTTTGAGTTTAAAAAATATGTTAAAATGAATAAGCGTACAGCCAAGCTTCTTATCAAGAAGCATAATCACCTCTTTTATATGTAAAATCCTGCATGCGATTTTGAGTCCAACACATGAGGAGGCATCAGAAACCAAGATATGTAGTGTTTTCCCTTTTAGCTATGCTTATAATTGAGTTTACTGTGTAAATGTATGGCCATAGGCTATTTGTTATTAGTTTATTATAATGAATTTAAATTAAAAATGTCTAAAACAACAGCTGGGAACTTATATTTAAGGACAAACTATGAGAAATAAGGGCATCATATCATTAATTAAATATTATGTATTTCAGTGTGTGTGTGTCATAATTAATCACATTGTGTAATCACAGGAACATATAGTACAGGCATGCTGTGAAGGAGACACACTTCCTTACTTGCCCACCTTCTAAACTACAATGGATCATTACTAGTGAGCACCAAAGAGGGGATTTATTTTGAGAAAGAGACTGAAACAGAAATACGAAGAATTCTTTGGCTTAATGAGGTGTAGGAGCTACAATTGATTTTTGCTTTTATATGGAAATGAGCTATCAGATGAAATGTATATTCTTTGTTGTGGTAATGACCTTCAAAACCAACTAACAAACAGAGAATGCAATCTTATTCAATGTGATGGTATTTAAAGGTTGTTAATGAACCTTTTTTTTAAACCCTCATTCAGCACTTGTTTTTTCAATGCAACGGGGAGCAACTGCAAAGAGAGTTATGCTCGCTCACCAGCACACAATCACACACTCACACATGGGGTTTGTGTTGTTTGATCTGTGGACTGGCTTTCTGCAGTAGTTAAGAGAGTGCAGTCTTTTGCTCAAGAGCACTGCAAGCAAGAGATAAGGCTGGAGAAATATTAGTGACTGTTGGCAGACTGACAACATGAACAATAAAAAATATGCAAAGATGCTGTGAGCTGGCTGTTGCTACAACATGTCCGTGCTATATTTGCCCACATAATGCCATAATGCTGAGTCTTTTGATGATGTGCAAAGTAAGAAAGCCTCAGTATTTCATAAATGTCAGTGTAAATACAGGAATTAACAAATGACCACACACAATGTTTTTGTCGACAAAATTTACCTGAGCTCCTACAATATTCTTTCCTCATACACAGAGGAATGATTAACAATACTCACAACATGTATTAGATTTGAGTCTCACAGTAAGAGGCCAAATACCAGGACTTCAGGATTCCACTGGTTTGGCAGCATTTTCGTAATGGCTGCTGCTGGCATTGTTAAAACTTCCTGAAACGAGTTTCCAAAATCCAACTATCCAATCCAAATGTATTTAAAAGGCACATTTGAAAACATCAACATAATATAGCAAAGACATAAAAACAACACAGTAAAACAACATAATAATGATATAAAATGAACATGTAAAAACACTGGTCACTGCTGTCCCAACAGCCGGTCACACAGGTCTTACAGGGAACAATGGGAGATTCTTTTCTTTATTTTGCATACTGCAAAAAAAAGAAATAATAATGCATTTCCTCACAGAAACTAAACAGCCGTTTTACTGAAGAGAGAATATTTGTGGAGTGATCAGCTCATTTCAATCCTTTCATGTTAACCCTTTACGAGCACAGACTACAAATCATTTCAATAACTAGCTGACTTGATTCTGAAAGCGATCAGAGTTGAGCACAGAAGCTTGTTGTGGTTGGATCCGCTGCTGTTTTGGTTGAGTGGATCTGTAATTACACTGACACATAAAAGTGACACATTATTATTATTATTATTATTATTATCTGTATAAGCGGAATTGATGCTCATATTTCATTTTATGACATAAAGAGTTAAAAGTAGAGCACAGATGGGTGGAGTATAAGTCAGGGGAGGAGTGGCACCATTGCAACATTTGTAGAGAAATGAAACTAAAGGAAACAGTTCAGTTCATTTGCAAACACAGACCGATAGCAGAGCAGATCATCCAAGAAGGTGAAGTTAAACTCCATTGGTAATGTACATATACTTGATAATATTCTGATATTGGAGAGTACTCATAGCTTTGTATAACATGTAACAAACTGCACCCTTTGTTCATGAAGTAGCTCACACTAGTTGCACATAGGAGTCAAAAAACATGGAGGGTTCTTGGTTTTAAAACCTCTCCTCTCCTCTAGATATGGCCACGGGCTGCAGCTTCCTGTCTGAGGATCAGTTCCTGTGCGCCATCTGTCTGGAAGTTTTCACTGAGCCTGTTTCTATTCCATGTGGACACAACTTCTGCAAGGCCTGTATCAACAGGCACTGGGAGGACAAAGAGCAGTGTCAGTGTCCCCTGTGCAACGAGAGGTTCAACAAAGGGTTCAAACTTCGGGTCAACACGGGATTCCGGGAGGTCGTGGAGAATTTTAAGGAACATCATGCCAAAGCTGACAATAATTCCCTGGCCAAACCAGGACAGGTGCCATGTGACTGCTGCCTCGCCAACAAGTTCAAAGCCTCTAAAACCTGTTTGGTGTGCTTGACGTCTTATTGTGAGACACACTTAGAGCCTCATCTGAGAGTTGCGGCCTTAAAAAGACACAAACTAACAGATCCTGTTTATAACTTGGAGGACCAAATATGCAAGAAACACAACAGGATGTTTGAGCTCTTCTGCAGGAATGACCAGACATGTGTTTGTGTCCTGTGTACAGAACATAGCTCCCATGACACGGTACGTTTAGAGGAAGCCTTTGTAGACAAGAGGGCTCAGATGGGGAAGAAAAAGGCAGAAGTACAGGAGAGTAAACGTAGGCGTGGAAAGAAAGGTCAGAAGACAAAAGAGGCAGTGCAGACCAAGAGGAAAGGCATAGAGAAAGCGATGTCAAACTGTGTGGTGCCGAATCAAATGCAAGCTCCTCTCATTTGGTGGATTCCAAACCAATTCGATAGTAGCGCTGTTCCTGGAAACAGGGACGTTTCTGAAGGGAGATTCTACCATGAGGTTCAGGCTGAAGGGTTCACCAGCTGGAATTTAGGAGTAGTCAGAGAGCCGATGCATGGGATAAGGAGATTCATACCTAACTCGAGGAATGGAAACTGGGTCATAAGGTTAGGAACTGACGCCAACTGCAAGGCTCGAAGCAACATCCCCGTCCATTTCTTCTGGATAAAGGAACCTAAGAGAGTCACAGTGTTGGTAGATTTTGACGACGGATTGGTGCTCTTCTATGACGCCGACACCGGAATCCTGGCCCACACTTTTATCTGCTGCAATTTCATTGATATGGTTTACCTATTCTACTGCCCCAGTCCGGACAGCTGGGCACACAGGCTGCAAAAGAAGGTTCAGAAGATAAAAGCTCAAATTCCAGATACCGTAGTCATCTTTTGTTGTATTATCTTTTACTTTGTATTAGTTAGTTTTATGTCAATTGTATAAACAAAATACTTTTTCTAAATCATGAAATTAAATAAAAACTATTCTCCTTCTCCCTCCAGTCACAAACTGTCTCTTAATCAACTAAATAATAAATGTTCATATACAGTAAGTCTGTAAATCACAATTCAAGTTGTAAAAGTTGTAATCATGACTTTGTATGCTTGTTTTTTAATTTTGTGTTGAATTATCAATAAATGAGTTTACATAAAGTTTACATCTAAGAGATGTTGGTAAAGAGGTACCATCTAAGAGATAGAGGTAAAGTCCTTTCTGAAATGAATAGATTTCACATTCACGATGGTGACAGAGGCTTTATTCAAATACACCACTAGAGGGAGCAATCCACTTACCCTTCATACAAACAGCAGCCCGCATTGCCCATTCCATTAAGATAGAGATGGCAAAATGCGTCTTTATTGTACACGTCTTAATGCTTGTAAATTAGTTAGACAACAACCAAAAGTTGGGAAACTGCACTTCAGTGGTGAGTCTATCACAGTGGTGAACACTGGTGCATTAATGATTCATGACAGCATGAAGTCCATGGGCAGGTTATCGGTTTACTTTTAATATTCATTATTAGCCCCAGTGTCTTTTCAAAAACTACCACTTGTAGTTCTGCAGTAGGGATCCCACAACAAAACCTTGTGTATTTAATTAGACTATTGGTCACATGGGGAAAATCAAGGGATTACACTGCAAGAATTGAAGAGATGACTTGCATTACATTACAATTTTTCTTCTCAAGTTCAGGAATTTCTCCTCTTTGACAGAAAAGGTTTATCAGTCAAACACTTTTAAACATCAGATTTCGGAATGCCTTCACAGAGCAGCAACAGACTTTGTTGGAAAGAGCAGAGTAAAAAAAAAATCAAACTGCCGGCAAACACAGCCAGGCTGTCAAGTCTGTCATTCATTGACATGCAAACAGTCAGCAGCACTGAATCAAGACTTACGCAGAGACGGCTGAATGATACGTCTTGTCTCTGTCTGCCAACGAATGAGAGGAGAATGGATCGCAGTCAGCATCCATACCAGACCAATCTCTCACACAGATGATATTTTACTCACACGGTACAGCAAGGCCGAGGGAAGATCTGAGCAGCATTGGAATGTGAACAAGCTAAAAGGAATTTAAGGGTTTTTATTAAAAATCAAGATGTTACTGAAATCAGCTGGTCAAATGTATTCTGTGTTTATCTTTTGTTGCAAAGTTATTGCTTGAACACAGAATGTGATACAGTCTGTGTCCGTGTTGTTGTTTGTGTAACCTGATGGGAAATGGTTTTGAGTTTCAAGGATGACAGACAGACATTGCCATCCCATGAGCCATGCTACAGCGAATGGTCCATCTTCTTATGTTTTCATTGTTTAGCTTGCTCTTTACTCTTAACATACTGTATGTAAAGAGAATGCAACACTAGGATACACTCAAAATCCTCGATCCACAAACATAACCAATATGTAACATTACCACACACAGCTGGTCAGCAGACACCATAACATAGCTGCAACCAGATGTGTCGACCACAGTGTCAGTCCACCTTCTGATTCAGCTACTGGTGAGCTAAAGTTTCCAATGACGAGCTATTTTAGGAAGCAACAGCGGATAACAGGGTTTTCCACTGTGACCCTGCAGGTGGGGTTCAGGGAGAAAGGTCAAAGGCTCGGGGGGTTCGGTAACTTCTGGGTCCCATGTGAAACCATGAACATCCTGCACTGTTAAAAGGGAATCCAGGCGAAGAGGTTTACCCCAAATGCAGATGTGTGAACACTTTCATGAGACAAGGGATTATGGTGCATATAAGTGAGAAGAGAAATCAGTGTTTGATTCTTATGTGGTTAAATATATTTGATGATCTTTTATATTGTTTTGCTTTTATTCAAGGATTTATGGTTCATTTATTGTCATTATGTAACACAGGTTTGCACAACAACATTCAGTTGTAACACCCTTTGCTACATCAGAAAAACACAACAAAAACAAAAACAGTAGTGCATTCCTGTAGGAATTGTTTTAATTTGCATCAGTATTGATCAATGTGGAGCAGCCATGTTGTTATATTAGGTAACATTTGCCATACATTTGACTGACCTAAAACCTACATGACACATCCATGATACCACATATAACATCACGGTTTGATGTAGGGCAATTATCAGCCTCAATCAAACAACATGAGAAGCCAGATGTGGGAGAAATCACATGTTTTACGTTTTAACATTAAGTCATTAAGACTACTCATTTGTTCTTTAGTTTTAGGTCCTATCTATTCATGATGTGTATATTCCTGTTTCCTCTATTATCCTCAGTTTAAATTTTTAGGCAATTCCTGCTTGATTCTTTTTCATCTAACTAATTCAGCCTAAAGCTACGTCCCTAAAGTCATCATCTCATTTATCATCCCAATGATTGTACCTGAGAAAAGATTGATTTTAGTGTGGAATGTAGAGATGTGAATAAAGAGATTACAACTTTGATACAAAAAAATACACATTTATTTTCAAATGTTGAGTTTTACAGTATTATTGAGACAGATACAGCAACAAGCAGTGTGAAGTATAATTCAAGTAGTAAGAAAAACAATACCATACCAATATATACAATTCATGTTTACATTGTTACCGACTAAAGCTGTGTATTTGATACACACTCGGTCGAACAAGCTATACTGCAAGTATTTACAAAACTTTTGTCATGTGCACTACTTTTAACAAAAACAAAAACCTAAAAAAACATACAATTTCATTTATTGAAGGGAACATCGACATTATACAACAGGGGTCAGATTTCGTGCAGATGTTAGAAATGACACTAGGTAACTACAGCGACCTCTCTTTGGACCAGGTCAGAGCACACAGTCCAATTATTTAAAAAATGCATCCCATAGTTGAAAGATTTCCGTGGCAGTGCCACTAAAAGGTAACAGCTCACCCTGAGGTCCTTTAATTCCTTCTTTGTATTTTATCAATGTGAAAGTAAAAGGATTTCAGTATTATTATTTTCTGATATATAGATTTAGGTGTCAAAGTGTCACAGTACAGCAGGTCTTTTATTCTGAAAGAGGAGCTACTTTCTCCTTTGCCGAGTGTTTTTCTTCATGATTTAGGCTGAACAAAACACACTGTGGTTTCATGCTCTTTGTCTAAAAAACTATACGTTTTTCCTGATCAGCCAACCCGACTGTCAATCAAACTATCTGGTTGGAAGCAACCATGACACTCCTGTATTTCCCCACTAACCTGTAACGTTACACCTTCATGTTTGACCTCTTAAGAAGAGACAATGTAAGAGCACCTACAGACATCCGTCCAACTGAAGTCTGTTGTGAATGGTTGGAAGTATACTCCTCCTGATATATCACAAGGTTTAAGTGCTTTGATTCTACTAAACAGTAGAAGATGACACTTATTTGTCCACAGGATTTTATGAATACAAGTATGATTCTGACCATAATAAGCAGATCTAATCGTATTTTCACTGTTGATATATCACAGACTTGTTTTAATCTAACGTTTAGAGTTAATGCAACTCATGTTTTAAAGTGAATAAAAAGCTATTCTAGGACCTATAACCGCTGTATCCCATCTCCGATGGCTGCCACACAGCGTTGTTTTGGGGACAGTGGCTGTGACAGGCACAGGTCAGGATCACCATGACGGGTCTCCTGGTTGTTTTACCTTTGGCACACTGGAACTCCACCAGGGCGGTCTTGGTTCTGTGGGGGGTACAGCAGCGGCCGTCCGTGCAGGAGCCACAGTAGCGAGGCTTGTAGGCCTGGACGCTGGTGCAGTTCTTGTAGGAGAGGTGGACGGCTGCGTCGCTCCTCACCATCCTCTGACACTTACTGCCTCTCTGCAGGGAGAAAAAGAGCCATTCACTGAATGCATGTGCACTGTATCCCTCTCGAAAATAATGTGATTTCTTATGTATTCTCATGCTACTGGGTTTACTGTAGAGTAGAAACTCCTACATAAAGGACATGGCATCCAAAAAGTACCTTCTGTGCAAGTTGTGTCAGCTGCGTCTGGTCCTGCTGGTTGTCACAGGGTCTGATCATACACAGTCGGCTCTGCTTCACCATCTCACACCGTCGGTTCTTATTGCTGACCCTGGTGGACACTCCCATGCCGCAGGTTTGAGAGCAGGCGCCCCACTCCGTGGTCTGCTCGATGCAGTTAAGGCTGGGGTCCCAACCGTCGAAGCTCACCGTTTCCTCCTGACGATAGGCTGAGGGAACACACAGGCGGACAGTGGGTTAGAGAAAGAAGTCACCATTTTCATCTGGTACAAAAAGTAGACTAAGGTGTATACTTGAAACTTGAAAGCAACCAATCCAAGAATGTAGAAAACTTTTAGAGAACACGATGCTTGATTGGATTCAACTGACTGCAGTGATGTATCACATTGCTGTTTCAGATTGGTGTCATAACACTGTTTCTTTCCTCTGTGTTTCCTCCTCTCAGCCTTCCTCAGCTCCCACTCTATTTTCGTCTTCCCTTCCTTCCTCTCTTGGTTGCTGCTCCCTAACACTGATCAGGTCAGAGACATGTACATAACCTTTAAACTCTGTCTCACACTGCAGTGGCACTGACGTCAAAGAGGAATGGTTGATTGTATGTGTCTATCTGTATGGTCCATCTCGTCCCATCACACCCTACTTCCAGTCCACTCACCCGCCATGGCAAAGCCACCCAGTGCACTGGCCTCAACCTGGGGCTCACACACCCACTTCTCGCAGCACTCTCCAGGCACCTGGACCCTGCGTGGCATGGGGCAGTCCGGTCCAGGCAACATCACGTCCAAGTTGCAGCGCGGCACACAGGCGATCTGCCCATCGCGGCACATACACTGGTACTTACAGCTGGGGAAGAAGGTCTGGCCATTCTGATAGACAGAACCGTCCAGAACACAGACATCTCCTTCATGAACTGGATGAAAGAGACAAAATAGAAAAAAAATAGATAAGAAATCTAGTTTTAGTTTTTTTTTTACAAGTTAAATCATCTCTTATTCACAAGAAGAATAACTGACATCAGGACGAACAGAACGAACAGAGCATCTACCGTAAATTGGACATCCTGCACACAATATTTGGGAATGTCCACTCACCGGCACAGATCCCAGTCCTCCTGTGGACCTCGACGGTGTATTCACACTGCAGCCCTTTCCGTGTGTCACAGGGGTTCATTTCAGAGCAGACCTGCCCTTTCTGACGGGCACACACCAGGCAGCAGACGCAGTCATCCAGGATCAAAGGGACCCCTGGGAGACACATGGGGGGCTCCTTAGGGCACTGGCATCTCCGAGGGCACACCTGGGTCCAGACTATTGTAAACACCTGGGTGGGAGACAAAATTCATTGGTGTTTTACATATTGTTAAAAGTCTTGATCTATAATCCAACCAAAATGACAAATATTACACACAAAAATATGTTTTATACAAGTAAAACCTTCTCCTCATAATTTGTATGGGATGCAAAAGTTGCTAAACATTTTATAGGGTAATTAATATGACATATCTTGTGAAAAAGGGAACATTCACAGAATAACGAACAGTGACTTAAGTAAACCTTAAAAGAACATTTGCTCAGTGAAACTCATTTGTACTGTTGGTAAAAAGTGGCTAACCAGTTCATCAATTTAGGTAAATTAAGACAACTGTGAAAAATTGTCTGTGAAAAAAAAGATAGTTTCCAAAGTGAGAGGATTTTTTTTTAAATAAAATAAAATATTGTCTTTATCTTAAACCCCTTCAGAGCATCTGGTGTCACAATATAGAACTCTGTATCTCAATGAAAACAATCCGTTACTGTTGTAATGCCTACCTGTGCTGCAAAGAAGACAAACAGAGCTCTCTCTGACAGATTGGTCATCTTCCTGTTAAATAAAGCAGAATCCAAAATATCTGCAGTCCAAAAAGGTTTTAGTTGTCTTTACTGGAGCTGATTTGAGTTCTTTGGTCCGGGGTTGAATCGTCTCCCCTCTCTGGCTGTTGTGTAGCAGAATGATGTGATCTCTTTGTCGTTCTGGCTCAGGGCTCGGGAGAGGAGGACCTTATATAGCGGAGCTGTCCTGCTGGCACCATGACGACAAACAGGAAGGAATGTCGGCGAGATCGCCCAGGTGTTGGAGGAGGATGAGAGTCAATGAGGATACCACAACATACATGGAGGTTCTTTTAACATTCTGCTAAAAAATACTTGTTTTTTACATGGTATTAAATGTACAACTCATATATGTATACATTATATACTTTCTTTTTTTCATCTGTTAGTTATTAATGCACACTTTCCTTTTTCCTTTTGAAGTTTCCGTATTGGGGATTCCCTTTGCCCTCCAGGGTGTTCCTGTCATCAGATATGGCATGCATGGGGTTCCCTTACTTTGGTCCCACTGACAGTGGGTGGTGACACTTTGACCTCTCTCGCTGAACCCAACCTGGGAGGTCACAGTGGAAAACCCTCTTATTCCCTGTAGGATTGTTACTGCTTCCTAAAATAGCTACACAGTGGAAACTTTGGTTCATCAGTGGCTTGGATCAGTGGGAGGACTGACACTGTGGTCGACACATCTGGTCAGAGATGTGTTATGGTTTTATTCCAAGCAGAGGTACTTGGATGGATTTGGGGGTGAAAGCTGACTGGATCCCTGAACAGAAGGGGGGCAGAAAGTAAATGTGTATGTAAGTTTGTTTGGGGTTTATGTGAGCGTGAATGTACATTTATGTCTTATGTGTGTGAGTGTATCCATGTTTCATGTTTGTTGAACATCAACCTCTGATATTTTGTTACATGACATTATATAGATGGCATTATATAATTGCTCCCTTTATTTGGTCAGAGATTCTAAGCAAAACTTCAAGAAATGTATCTGGCAGAGCCAACTAAAAACCATATGTTTAGAGTTTGTTCATGTCTCAACATGGCGCCTCCCAATGGTGGTGTTGACAAACATGCACAACACAAACTGCACAAACTGATATTCCTCAGTATTGTTTTTTTTTTTTTACAAATAGAAGTAATACTATCAGAATCGTCATATTCTATCAGAAAGAGGCTACAAACACAAAAAATACATACAGTATCATTAGTTATTAAGAGTGACACATATTGATGCTTTTATTTTCAGGGGTCGACTCATCACTATTTACATTTCGGTTGTTCAAATTTCACATGGCAGACACGAGCGACAGAAAGGACACATTAAGTGTCAAAGAAAATGCTTTAAAAAAACAATAACAAGGCTGCATGGAAGTGTGCAGAAGTTGTAAAAAAGAACACACGGACTGAGGCAGCGTGTTAAATGCTATTCATACGTTAGCTCATCCTTAAAGAGGGAATCAGCTGACCGAGCTACTTCACCTTTGTGGCTTCGTTTTTCAAGCTGTGACCACTGGGACGTTTGGTCTAAACGATGAAGTGTAAATTCAAGATGATCCAGGTCTTTATCAGGCGACGGTTCATCCATTGCCCCGGAGTTTAGTGTCATGGTGGATGCGTATATGTGAAGGACAGCGGCAGAGACCACACACCTGTTTTTAAGGTAAAACTGCTTTGGTTTGATACCAATAATGTTTATTGCTGGTTTAATGAGCAATGCAACTGCTTGCTTGGCTCTGGGCTTAATGTTTTGCTTTTTGGTGAGCGGATGTCAGCGGTCTGTGAGAGTACGACTTGCAGGTGCCAGATATACTTTATCCAGGTTTGAAAGTGGTGGCAGACTGATAAGATTTGGATGGAAAATACGGCATGTAGCTGTTGTGGAGTGCAGCTTAATTCATTTTATTGTTTTTCACATACAGATGCTGGTGAGTGAAACTTTTCCTCTAATATATGCAGTACAATGCAGTTGGCCTTTTTGATATTTCATGTGTTTTTCACTCTGGGCATGTGATATTTCAGGTTTTCTTTCTGTTGGCATGAGTTTTATACAGGCTAGTATTGAGCTAGAGGTTGGTTTCCACTGTGTGATGGCCCAATCTGTGTTCAGATGGTTTTAAGAGAGAGAGATTGACATTTCAGAGATGAAGTGGCCAATAGAGAAGCTGGAGTTTGTGAGCTTCGTAGTTGTGTGTAAAATCATCAGACTTCAAATGAATGATCACATGTCTTTCTACTACATGGCGTAGTGAGCACTTACTGTATGAATATTAATATTTCAAGGTATTCAAGATCAATCAAATTATTAAAACATGGCATCCCTTTTAGACAGTAGATGTAAACTAATTTGTTGCAGAAGTTCAGTGTTCAACACTTACTTTTATTTATACTTGCCGTGCACCGTTTGGTTACACCCACGACTACCATTTTATTTATTGCAGTATTTGTTCTCTGTTGCCATAGCAATATCTTGTTCTCAGCAAAGTAAAATATTTAAAATATGTGACCAAGAAACTGCTAACAACTACCACATGTGGCCAGCTGTTTTGAGAACATTTATATGCAGGTTCCTCCCAACTTCCTTCATCAACGAAAGATACTCGGTCTGGACTTTCCTGTCCATCCACATACTATATAAACGATTGACTCCGTCACCCAGTTAGTAAAAAAAGAGAAAGAAATTGAGGTTATAAGATCTGCCTTCTAAATGACTTGTGATTCCAGCGAGCAGTGGTTAGCTCTGCCAAAATCTTGATTCAGTGCTGTTCAAATAATTTGCCCGAAGAAGTTGAAGAATGTCAAATATCACAGGGATGGTTGTGTTTGCCGACTGTGTGTGGATTTCTGCTCCTTTATTGCTTCTGCTTTGGTCTTTTTAAATTCTGCTTCTATTTCGCTGCTGAAGAGATAAATCAGGAGATGGTGCTGTACCACAGACATTTGTCAGGGCTGCGGTACCCACAATAAACTAAGGATCATGGATCAGTCAATTCTGTCTTTCCCTCCCAGATGTTTTTCATTTGAAAATCAGTTTGATTCAATTGATTGTAATCCCTGGAAACAATGCTTTTCTTCTGTCTCTGTTGAGCCTTCTTCTCTTCATCATCTGAGGCCTCTCAGTAAGGCCTGAACGTCTGTCTTTTCCCATTGTTTGCACCTATTTACTGTGTGACTACTTGGCACAGTGTGGCAAAGTGTGATATCTCCCAAGAATGAGGTGGGAAGCCTGCATACGCACATTCATGGTATCTGTGAAATATTTCCACTCTAGAGAGGAACATATGGAAGAAAACAGACAGGGAGGACAGAGATGGAGGAATGAGAGGAAATCGGGCTGCTGGCCTTAAGATGGAGGAGGCGGAGAAGGAAGAATGGACGAACAGACATGCAGTAGCTGACTAGTCTATGCTCTATTTCTTTCCCTGCTTGTTTGTTTCCGTTGTCCAGAGGAGGGGTCTGTGGTAGGACCTGTGGCTGTTAGATGTTACACTTTGAGTTATTTTCACACTAATCTTTTGTTCACCCCCTAAATACCCCTCATCCTCCAGTGGAAGGACATGTTGCGGTACCACTTTAAACTGAGGTTTGACACAGTAACTTTCTAAACAAAGACGGATCGCACAGTAAAAGACTTGCTTACAGGCGGCTTGTCAGCCTGCTAGCTGTTGTTGGACTCCGCTGTAGGGGATCAAACCTTTTGCCAAGCGGTCAGGCCACACAGTCAACGCCACCACTGAGAGCTCCCCATGATTCATTTAGAGTTTACACTGACGGGTCCAACATCATTTAATGTTCTTGCAACACATCATTCGGTGACATAATGTGGTCAACGGTCTGTGTGGCGCAGTAGATGGAGGACCTTCTTTGTCCCGCTCCTGAAGAAGTCTTCTGTTCACAGCGAGGAACCTAATGAGAGAAAACATTTTATGAAAAACATCACATGTGGGATTTTTATTATACTCGGTTGACATTCATGAGCAGATCATGATGTTAAAAGCGTCTTTGTGATTCAGTTAATTATGGTTATTGCTGTCTTTATAGTTTGGGATGCCAAATTCCCCTTTCCTGTTGAATCCAATGCAGTTATACCGATATTCATTATTTTGGATGAAAGTTGTTTTCTCTCGACAGTGCCTGGAATATTCATTCATGAATCCATGCGTGCAGCTAGTCACAGTATTAGTTCAGGAACAGATGAACTCAGAGGAAGCAGAATATTCAGACTACAGAGATCATATCACAGATTATTAAGTTATCCTATCATTTATGATTAAAACAGGCCAGTTTCTCTCCACAGCCAGGCTGCACCGTCTGGGATCTCATGGTTGCACTTAATCCCCGACTGAAGGTTGGATGACTCCCATTGTGTTACGTATTAAAACAGAAACATTATCAAAAGTTCCATGAAAAGGAAGGTGCAATTTCCTCATATCATTTTGATATTATCATACATTCGGCCCCTGACCATCTGGGACGAGTCATATTTGGAACCAAACAGTTACGAAGTGTAGTGCAAATTTGGCAAAATGACTGGATCCTTTCAATGATTTAATTACGGACAGAGATTGTTGTTTGTAACAAGTGTGTCTGACCATTGCATACACGGCATGGTTGAAAAGCTACTTATTTCCTGCATGACATCATATTTTCCTTCAGTGTCTAAAAATGATAAAACTGAACAAATAGAATTCAGTTTTGGTAACTAGTGTGTTATGTGTTTTTAGTGCACCTTCATCACATGTAAAGTAAATCACAGAGTTTAAGCATCGGATATCAGAGGGTGTTTAAAGAGGGCTCTTCCAAAGGAAACCCAGACTAATGGCGTGAATAATTCCACATGGCTTAAGCAGCATTTCCTTTCCTGAAAATCTTGTTTTTTTGTCAGATCATTTAACATTGGCTTCCAGCCTTTAGACATGTAACTCCACAGTGCACCATTACTGGCTAGTAGGGGTGGGAATCACCAGAGGTCCCGCGATACGATATTATCACGATACTTAGGTCACGATACAATATTATCACGATACTGCGATATTCTGAGTATTGCGATAACATAGGCCTATATTGCGATTTATTACTTTTTTCAACTTCAAATTATGTCCCCAAAGGAAAACTGTCAACATGTTTTAT